ATGACAACATAATCCCAGAAGGGGAGTTTTGTTCTGAGAACAAGATTGGGATTGATCCTGTTATAACTGTTCAATGATCAGTAATCTCTGAACTCTCATTTTGTTTATCATCTGAAGCATTCTTAACACAAACTCAAAGAGGGAAAAAGAAGATGAGTGAATCCATTTAAATTTATATGGGATAATGAAATTCTGGTGCTTGGTTTTAACTTTAGCAATTTGTCTTCAGTATTTCTACGTGCCGATTGGCTCCTTCACTGTTTTTATGGCATCAGGAATTTGGTAGCCAGGTAATGGAGAGGTTGAACTGTTGTCTCGTAAGGCAGATACTTCTCTTAGCCATCCCGCTCATTTGGATATATTTAGTTGCTGTTTCTTCCTCTGGTGCTACTTCAATTTTTTCTCCACTGACCTGCTGGTGTGTTCACCTCATGTGTCTTCTGATGGTCTTTTGTTTCTTCATTAAGGCTGCAGAATGTAATTTTTATAGAAAATATATTTTTTTACATATTTGTTCAATCTGTCACCATGTTGTGACAGCGTGGTCTAAGACAGATAATCTGTGAAAAAATCAAGCTCTTCTGCCTTCTCCCAGTTCCAGCCACAATCTCATGTGGCACCAGCTGTCCCTCTCCTCTACCCACCTTGCTCTCTGCTTCCTGCAACTTTTCCCTGTCAGCAGAGCCTGTTATGAAAATTCAGACTAATTAGCATAGCGACCAATGGCGGACAGGAAAGGATAACTGTTTTTCCACCATTAGCACATTTAGCAGTGAATACTTGACATTGAATGACAGCCTAAGACCCTCCTCCTGGCTCTGATTGGTTGTTTTTTCGGGCGGTGCACTAATTCAGAAGGCAACAGCAACTAGGGGGGGAGGTAGAGGAGATAGATTATTTTGCAGAAGAGCTGTTTCATAAACTGTCATGACATAGTAACAGTTTTCATTAATATGTAAAAAACCCCAAAAACAAACAAAAACCCCCCATAAACCATAAGTTACGTACTGCACCTTTAACTTCTACATAGTTCAACTGACATTTAAGGTGTTGTACCTGATAAAAGCAAAAATAAAACATGTAGTTGAGGATTAGTGTTCAGAACAACAGTTAGTGATGAAAATTTGTCTTGAAATAATAATTTAGTAGTCTTCTATAGCAGAGTTTTGATATTCTGTTAATACCGCCTCCAGTGATTAAATCAAGACTCACAGAGCAGCTGCTGGACTTTGATCACAGTTGTGTTCTTGTGTGTCTGATAACAATTGAAATGATGATAGTGGTAGTAGTGATGATGATGATGATGATGATGATGATGATGATGATGATGGAGAGAGGGAATTAGGTTTCGATTAGCGACACTGACAGGTCATGATGTCACGTCCTGCCTCTCTGTCTGTGTGACTGATCAATACCAACATCACACACACTATTAGCGACTCTGACTCTCCTTTCTCTCCCTCCTTCTGTCAGAAATACAATTATAAACTCCTCCTCTTCTTCACACACTTTTCCCCAGTCGTAATCTCAGTTTCATTCTCAGTTAGCTAACAAGGTTGATCTTCATTTTTTATATTGCTTTGCTCATCAATAACCATAAACCTTTTTTAAAAATCTGTTTTAAAAGAAGCTTACTGGGAAATATAGTGTATAGGACAGATGGCTCAAAGACTAAAAATGTTTAGTCTTTGAGTCTAAAAAGTTTGTAGATTATGAGTAAGAGGGGCAGGAATTCATAAGATCTAGAATCTTCTACCTGATCCTTTTAGACCTAATTATGTAAAATTACATAGGCATAATAATTTTTTATGTGCTCTTACTTTTTATCTGTTCAAAGAAATAAACAAATAAATAAAAATCCATAAGCTGTTGTCCTCGTTTATTTTCTATCATTAATCTTCACAGTTAGCAATGACTAAAATTCATTAAGTCCTTTTAAGTCTTCAGTTGGAAACTCGTTTTTACTTGTAAAATGCGTTTGGATACTTTCATTTAATCGTGTGATTGGTTGACGTTCCAGTGATGATCTGGGACGACCTCAAGAAGAAGACGGTGATCGAGATCGAGTTCTCCACAGAGGTGAAAGCGGTGAAGCTTCGGCGGGACAGGTACGGGCGGACTCCACTTTGCCTCCATTTTCCTTCAGAAACATTAGACGGCTACATCTGGATGTGTGGATATTTTTTGTTTGTTTGTTTGTTTGTTTTCAGGATTGTAGTAGTCCTAGACTCCATGATCAAAGTGTTCACCTTCACGCACAACCCGCATCAGCTGCACGTGTTCGAGACCTGCTACAACCCCAAAGGTCGGTGCCGGCGCCCGTGAGTTCTCGGGCTCCCGGTCGTCCCGTCCGGATCCGGCCGAGTCGTTATCAGTCATCACAGCGGTGTCTGGTTGTTTGTAAGGCGCCCGCCGTCTCGTGCGTTCCAGGTCTGTGCGTGCTGTGTCCCAACAGCAACAACTCCCTCCTGGCGTTCCCGGGAACGCATTCGGGCCACGTGCAGATCGTGGACCTGGCCAACACCGAGAAGCCGCCCGTCGACATCCCCGCCCACGAGGGGGCGCTGTGCTGCATCGCACTCAACTGCAGGGAACCAGGATAGCCACGGCGTCGGAGAAAGTGCGGGGAGGGTTTTTTTTTTGTTTTTTGTTTTTTTGCTGTTGCTGGATGAGGGGGTTGGCGACCTCTGACTTCCTGCGACTTAATTCCCGTCGCTTTTCCGCAGGGCACTCTGATCAGGATCTTTGACACGTCGGCGGGGCAACTCATCCAGGAGCTGCGGCGAGGCTCGCAGACGGCCAACATCTACTGGTGAGGGAAAGAACCTCGGATAGTTATCTTTCATTTTTTAAAAGAAAACCTCTTAGGAAACTATGATAGGAAATCTGCTTATGTTTCTTTTTCATTTTTGGTTTTTTTTCAGCATCAACTTCAATCAGGACGCGTCTTGATCTGCGTGTCCAGTGACCACGGCACCGTGCACATCTTCGCTGCGGAAGACCCCAAAAGGAACAAACAGTCGAGGTCTGTGCTCTCTGAGCCATTTCCACATTTTGTCGCATTACAAAGTACAAAACCTTCATCGCTTTTAAGTGATTAAGACCAGCACGACTGTAAAGTTAAAGAAAAGCAAAGTTGATAGTTTTGGGCAATATAAAAAAATCAAAATAAAATCTGATTTTTTTTTTTTGTTCATTTGTTTTTTTGAATCATATTCAGCTTCTGATTTCAATCCAAATTTTTTGCGAAAGTGGCTTGTGTTTCAGTCATTCAGTGTAGACATAGTAACAGCAGAACTATAAGAATTTTATAAGAAAATGTTTTAAAATTATGAGCAAACCATTTAACAAGAAAAAAAGTCTTGGCTGAAGTTCATGTGATCTTTATTCAAAATGGCTGTTTTCACAATCATTTGAAAATCCTACTAATAGTTTTGATGTTGACATAAGTCCTCCAGACCAGTAGGTGGGACCTGGAGCTGTTCTATATATTGTAAAAGACTGCATGTTGAAAAACGCCATAAAGTATTACAAAATTTGTCTTCCTCCCTCAGTCTTTCTTCTGAACTTCCCATTAATTCATAAAATACAATATCAGGTCTTTACTGACCACCTGGTTATTGACTGACTCCCCCTAGTGGTCTGGAGCACATCTGTTCTGCCTGCAGCATTTCGTAATTGCTGTTTTTCCCTATAATCATGGCATTTTCTCCCTTCGCTTCTTCCTCCTGTGGTTTGCTGCATTTTTTTTTTCTTTTGTTGCCACATCTTTTTGTTTTCATTTGTTTCGTGTTTTGGCGTTTGCGTCGTCCACGTGTTTGGAGCTCGCTCGGTTTGCTTTGTGTTTTTGCAACTCCCGGCCACCGTAGCCTGAAGCCATGCTGAAAGACCTAAGAGTTACATTGTGGAAAGTTCTGGGAACCGTTATTGTTTTTATTTTCAACTTCACACCAAAACAAAGACGAAGAGGGAAAAAAAAAAAAAAACCCATCTCGGTTTGTTCTTTTGTCATGTGACAAAATGTGGAAGATTTCAGTGCAAGTCAATCGTTTTGCAGTGACTCTTTAAGAACCAGTTGTGACTTCGCCTTTCTCCTCTGCAGTTTGGCGTCCGCCAGCTTCCTCCCCAAATACTTCAGCTCCAAGTGGAGCTTCTCCAAGTTCCAGGTGCCTTCGGGCTCCCCCTGCGTGTGTGCCTTCGGAACGGAGCCCAACGCTGTCATAGGTGAGCTAGCGGTGGGGCGCCTGTCCGGCCGGCGTGGGGGGGGGGAAAGGGAAGGGTGACTCATCTCGTCACACGTCTATCAGACTCGGCACCAAAGCGTCCAAGAAATCAGATTCTTCTATCTGCTCCTGCTCACTTCTTCTTCTTCTTCTCTCTTTCTGTCTTCCTGCAGCCATTTGTGCTGACGGCAGCTACTACAAGTTTCTGTTTAACCCAAAGGGGGAGTGTTCCAGAGACGTGTACGCCCAGTTCCTGGAGATGACTGACGAGAAAATATGACCCTCGTGACTTCCTCTGAGCAGCACGTTTTTTTTTTTGTTTTGTTATTTTTTTCCCCTTTTCTGTTTCTGAGGAATTAGAAGTTCGACTTTCACTTCCATCTTATCTGCAGAGACTCTGGATCATCAGAGCATCAGATGGAGTGGACAAAGAAAACAAACAAAGCACAGATTTGTTTTTTTAGGAGGACTAATGGGAAACTCATGACGTACGCCACCTTGCTCCCAAACCAAACCACGGCGATGAGGGAAAGTTTTTTTTTTGTTTTTTTTCTGAAATACAAACAGTTTTAAGATGTCTTCCGAAGGCTATTTTTTATTCCCGTCCTGATAGTTGAGACGTCTTGGATAACTAACACCGCCCAACCCCAAACTACAGGCAGAGTGCCTCTGAAACCGAAGAGAGCGTGCGCACACATATTATCGCAGATAAAAACGCGCGCGCCCGAGAACACAAAGTGTGTAAAATTATTAGGTGTGTGAGGGGATCCCGCTTTGTTAGGCATCACCTTAGATTTTCTTTGCTTGTATATACACCTGACTGAAGTAACCACATCGAGCTGTACAGAACAGTAGCTTAAAAAAAACTTTAAAAATTAACCTGTATTTTTTTTTTTACTTTATTTGTCAATACTCGTTTACCAGACGGTTTTGTCTTCAGTCTAAATTTCCGGAGAAAAGCTGGTATATTTTGAGAGAGAAGTCTTTCACAGATTGGCTTCATGGGGAAGTTAATTACACAGAGAAAATGTTTGCACCTTGAGTCTTAGTTTAATCGATTTCCAATCATTTTTTTTTTTTTTGTGAGAGCCACCTCAAGAAAAAAAAGGAGAAAAAAAAATCGATATTTCTTCACTGCATTCATGAGTTACATTTTTATTCTGCCTCGTGCTATTGGCACTTTGCACCTTCATCGCTGCTCTCGTTTCTGCCATTTGAGCTGATCCCTCAGCAACCTGGACAAGTCTGTCTGCATCCACCGCAGTAAAACTAGTGACAATTTTTTTTTTTGTTCGTTCTTTTTCATCTATCACGGCCTTCAGTCGACTTGCTGCAAAACACATTTCTTTTTTTTTTTTGTGGCTTCTTCTTGCATCCGAACGTGCGTTTGCGGCGCTCGGAAGACCCGGACCACTAGAGGGGGATGCCGAGTAAACTGAGAACTCGGCCCAACCGGTTTCTGATACACTTAATGATTGTAAAATGTGCATTTAAATCTGTGAATAAAATTAACATCTGCTTTTCCAGATAGGTTGATGAACTCTTTCTGCTTATTTTGTTGCGATTATTACTGCAATGAGACAGGTAAAGGAAAATGCCTGAAGTAGGCCTATGTTGCCAGCAGGGGGCCCCCCAAGAGCTCTCGATGTCCCACAACTACAACTTATAGTTGCAGTATGTAGGTTTTTTTGGGAGCCATTTTGAGTTTATCCCATTACAAACCAGACTTTTAATCTTTGGGAACATTCAGACTAAAACTCAACCCCTTTTTTTCCACACAAAGAAACAATATATAGACTTCTGCATTTGCTCAACTGAGAGGGTTTACTCAAAGAAATACAGAGAGAATGTGTTTAATAAAATTTATATATATATAAAAAAAAAAAGCATTTTTCCACTGAAGCAGAACGAACACCTATCACTTGTTTTAGCTCATAGAACATAGAATACAAGCTGAAAAGCCTTACTTTGTCGCCTGAAGTTAAAAAAAAAAAGGAAAGAAAACCAAGCGAATCAACTTCAACACAAAGATAAACACAGCCGATGATGACGGAGAAAACAAGTGAGCAAATACAAAATAATAATTAAAAAAAAAACCAAGGTTAAGTGCAGCACAGGTCAGAATCGTATAGCGTAGATTCAGTCTTAAGTTTTCTTCAGTTCCATATTCAAATGATCTGCTCTGGTACGTTTTGTTTCTACATCTGTAACATGCAAGCTCAATGACACGTATGCTCAAATACACACGGGAATATACGTTTTCATTCGTAGGATATCTGGAAAATATGACAAAAGATCTGTTGATGTACAGTGAGAACCACGTTTCATTCGCAGAAACAGAAAGAGCATCCACTCCATATGTTTTCTTTAAATGAGGAAAAAAAAAAAGAAAAAAAAACTAAAATATATATTAATAAACAAAACAAAAAAGTAAGACTACATCATGTCACCGAACAGTCCACATACAAAAAAGAAAAAAAAAAAAAAACAACAACAGGAAAGACTCCCAGAATTGAGATGTTGGGATGTTTCTTAAAGAGCGGCGCTCGTTGCTCCGGATTATTACTGGTGCCTCGGGGGAAAAAAAACGAGGGAAAAACAAAAAACAACAAAAAAAAACGGACTAAATGCTCCGTGGCGCACCGAAGATACGACGGAATACTGCATTTCTACTCGCGACTCGGTTAGGTAGGTCGACGTGGAGGCTAGCTGCCGAAGATGGGAATGTCCACATGTCCACAAGCCGGCCAACTGTTTGAACGCTTTGATTTTTCTGTAATGCTACCAGGAGGAGACGCTCCTGTTTGTCTTTGGGTGGCTGGGGGCCAGGAGGGCGGGGCAAGTTGCATGGAGAATCTTTTTGTTCTGGACTTTCCCTGTTTGTTTCTGCTTCTTCTTGCTCTCTGGGCCTCCAACTTGAGAGTGACGGGAGTGGAAGGGGGGATTCACAGTCATCAGCTACGCTTCTGTTTCATTTTCAGTTTGGTCTCTAGTTTTTTTTTTTTTGTTGTTTTCTTTTTTGCATCGAGTTTTCTGCTATTAAATACGTGGCAGATAGGGGGCGGACGGGTGGAGTTAGCACAATCGGTAGTGCTTTTCTTTTGGCACCTTGAGGATGGTGACGGAGGATGGGATGGAAGGATGGGGATGGAGGTGGGCGGGGCTACTTGTCGTCAGCCTCCCCGGCGCTGTCTGTGGTGCCGTTGTTGCTGCTGCAGACGGCGGCCGGGCCGTTCTCCTCGTTGGTTTTCGCCCTCTTGGCGTCGGGCGGGTCCTGCAGCTCTCCGTTCTGCCTCTTGGTGGGGAGGGAGGCCGAGGCCGGGCGTGCGTTGCCAGGAGATGGAGGGGTTTGCTGCGGAGACACGGAGGACAGGGACGAGTTCGTTAAAACGCCAGAGAGGGGGGACTGCTCCGCGCACGGCAGGCGGTCGCTGCGGTGACACGCTGACATCACGACGAACGAAACTGGCTCTTTAATTGGACCTTGTTTTGCGCAAAGTGTTAAACACAAGCCAACACTCGACATTCTCAGCTTTATTTTTATAGAACACCTATCAAACAAACGTGTTTGTTCTGTCTCAGCTTTTGATGATGTTCATTTTCTTCTACCACACAAGAGACATTCTGAGTCTGAGGAAACGGAGAAGTGCTCAATTTTTAGATGCTAAAGATTAATGATCCACATAAGGCTGGGCGATACATCCAATTTTTGGGAAAATTTGGATTTTCTCCTGGGTTTCCGTAGCTCAGAATGATGTCAGCACGCCTCAAGCCACCATCTTAAGCAGGTGTTTCATTTATCTTTAATTCATGTCAACTCCGTGAGGAAATAGAAGAGCCAGGGTGTTTTTTCTTTTTCCTTTCCCATTACAAGAATAAAGATATTAATTTCCAAGGTATCATTTCACAGGTTTATTTTATGTACAAACTGTAACGTTTGTTGCAGTTTATGTAACTATTTACTGTTAAATATTGGATAAAACGACCATGAAACGACATAAACCATTATTCAAAAGGCGTCACCTGAGCTGGCGGCGGTGCTGATGGGCAGCAGGTGAGTCCCGTTCTGCGTGATGGCCTTGATAGGAAGTGGTGCTGGCCGAGCGGGGCCTGCTGCACTATGGTGACGGTCGCCAAGGGAGCGGCCTGCGAGCTCTGGAGATGCGGCCGACTCCGCCTATCGAGGAAGCCGATGGACGGGACCGGCTCCACCTTGACTGCAAAGCACAATGGGAGAAGAGTGCGAGTTGACGAGCGACGTCTCGGCTGACGCTGACGCGGACGCCTCCGGTGAAGTTCACCTTTGACCTCCTGGCGACCTCCTCCGCCGCCTCCGTTCTCCGAGGCTCGGGGCTCTCCGCGGAGGCGGGCTGCCCCCGACGGTCGCCATGGTGACGGCCGGGATCTGGTGGACCACGTGCACGGTCTGCATGACGGGAGCGGAGCTCACCGATGTCGTCACCATGGCCGGGGTCGCCATGGTGTAGGTCACGGGCTTCATGGTGGTCTGAGGCATCTGGCGCTGCACGGCGATCAGCACCGGCTGGCTGGTGAGGGGGGAGCCTGGACAGGAAACAGGAAATGATGTCAGCAGCAAACAAAAATTGTGATGCTTCATAAGCGAAAAATGGCCGACTGAAGGAAAGCCGTCAAGTTATTGCATTTCAGGTAATAAATGCTTATTTTATTATTTAAAAAATGAATTGCATTTTTCAAGTGCATTTCTAATATCGTATTAAGATTGAAATGCACAATCTGCAGAAAGAGCCATTTTTTTTCCAATCATGAATGAAATTGGCAGATTAATCGATTAACCATCAAAATGAACAAACTAAAACTAAAATAGTCAACTGATTAATCAGTAAAAGATCTATTACTCATAGAAATACTTAACCGACGAGTTGGGAAAACAACTGATTAATCATCAAAAATAACAGATCAATCAATCAATAACTGTAACAATCATTAGTAACAGCCTGAAACAGCTGGATCTGTTCATGAGAAACTTGAGGCTCTACCTGGGGAGTTTTGTGCGAAGCGAGCCTCCTGGATGACGGCAGCTTGGGCTGGACTGCGGCTGTCTGGGTGGGTGCTGTTGGGGGGGCCTCTGCCTCCATGGGGACTGGGGATCCCTCTCTGGACAGGCTGTCTGGGGTCTGGACTCCGCTGGAGTGGGCGGACAGCACCCCCATGTGGTTGGGAGATGCAGGGGCGCTCCTGAAACGACGACGAGAAGAATCACCGGCGTGGAGCGGCGAGCTTAAACATGGGGTGAGGCGGCGAGCCGTA